TAAGGGACATGCTTGTGCTGGAGTCTTGGTAGCTCTCTCTCTCTCTCTCTCTCTCTCTCTTCTCCTCTCCTCTCTCCCCCTCTCTCTCCTCTCTCTCTCTCTCTCTCTCTCTCTCTCTCTCTTCTCCTCTCTCTTTCTCTCTTTCTCTCTTTCCTCTCTCTCTCTCTCTCTCTCTCTCTTCTCTCTCTCTCCTTTTTTTTTTTTTTTTTTTTTTTTTTTTTTTTTTTTTTTTTTTTTTACACAGGGTTTGACAAGGGTTTAAAGGGTCCCCAACTTTATTGACAGCTATTTACAGGTTAAGGATTCCAACTTTATTGGCAAGCTAAGAGCTGTTACCTACATCAGCTCATTTGAAAGCATTTTATTGTTATGAGACATACAAGGAAACAGGATGAAGTTGGAGCCATCTGTGGGGCCCGCATTTTTCATTTGATCAACTGACTTTATCTCGTTGACATCATTATGCTGTACGAATGTGTTCCATACTCTAGTCATCCTGTATGTATGATCTCAGATGGAGTGATGTTCTGGAGAAGGGTACAGCCAGAGTGAAGTTGCTGCTTTTTGCCCGTCTTGTGGCATAAAAGCTTGTTTTCACGCTGTCCTCGAAGTGGATCCAAGTGTGGTATTTTGACAATATTGGCCTTGTACATAACAGTAAGGCCACCCACATCCCTCCTAAAGTTGAAGGCTCTGCTGAAATGACAGATCTATCCAGGATGGGGCCAGGGGGAGAGATTAGACGTCTTGCTCTGTTCTCTACTCTGTCAAGCAGTCGCAGATGAGAGGGGGGGGGAGGCAAACCAAGAAAGTGGAGCATACTCAAGGTGTGAGCGTACTTGTGCCTCGTACAGGATCTTGCAACCCCTACGTCAAGCAGATGGGAGATACGGCGAAGTGCTGTAAGCTTCCTGCTGCCTTGTTTGCAAGATTTACAAAAAGGTTTCTTCATGTTAGTTGGAGTCAAATTCACCCCAAGATATCACTTCTTCTCCGGGTTTGCCAACCCCTCCCATTCATCTTTACTACTGCACCACATTACCATCTGGTCCTAGAGACATCATCTTTTGCGTTTTCTCAGGTGCAAATGTTACTTGCCATCTTTTCCCCAAGCTTCTCTCTTCTTCTCTCTCTCTTCTCGTTTCTCTCTTTCTCTTCTCTCTCTCTCTTTCCCCCCCTTTTTTCCTCTCTTCTCTCTCTTCTCTCTCTCTCTCTCTCTCCCCCTCTCTCTCTCTCTCTCTCTCTCTCTCTGTTCTCTCTTCTCTCTTTTTCCCTCTTTCTCTCTTTTTTCTCTCTTTCTCTCTTCCCCTCCTCTCTTTCTCTTCTTTTCTCTCCTCTCTCTCTTCTCTCTCTTCTCTCTCTCTCTCTTTTTCTCTCTTCTCTCTTTTCTTCTTTCCTTTTCCTCTGTTTCTCTCTTTCTCTTTTTCCCTCCTCTCTTTCTCTCTTTCTCTCTTTCTCTCTTTTTTCTCCCCTTTTCCTCTCTCTCTCTTCCTCTCTCTCTCTCTCCTCTCTTCTCTCTCCTCCTCTCTCTCTCTCTTCTCTCTCTCTCTCTCCTCTCCCCTCTCTTTCCCCTCCCCTCCCTCCCTCCATCCCCCTCATCTCCAGATGTTCAATAAACACCAACCATTATAATCCATACATTTCTCTTTCTTTACTATTTTTCCCCTGTTAGAAAGGGAAAGGAGGGGGGAAAGGCAAATGAGATGGAGGGCTGGAACAATGGACCAACACTTAATTGTCAGCATAGTTGCTGATCCCTGTGTTGTATAGCATATCTGTATCATCCATGTGCTTTAGATAGGAGATCCCTAGGCCTGTGACTGTTGTGTGACGTCACGGGATGCGCATGTGTACGTTCGTACCTCTGCCTCCCTCTCAGTCGGTGTTAGACATCCAGGCTAGGACAGGCAGAGGCTGGGCTCCAATTCCCATCATCACAGTCTGACAACATATCGTTACCATCCAACCCTCGATATCTCCATTTAAGAACCCCTACGATAAATGTTGTCGCGTCAAAACGTAATGAACATTATTCCCTACTAGATCACAGTTTTAATGATTTTATCATTCTATGGTGGCTTGTATCATCCTCTAGTAGCTTGTATCATCGTCTGGTGGCTTTTATAATCTTCGGATCGCCTTTATTATGTTCTAATGGCTTTTATCATACTCTGATGGCTTCTAACATCCCTCGATGGTTTAAATCATTCAGCTCCTGTCTAGTTACCTTGTCTACACTATCATTCTGCTTCTTCCTAATTACTTCACCATCATCCGGCCTCTGCACCACCATCATCCGTTCTCTGCACCACCATCATCCGGCCTCTGCACCACAATCATCCGGCCTCTGCACCACCATCATCCAGCCTCTGCACCACCATCATCCGGCCTCTGCACCACCATCATCCGGCCTCTGCACCACCTCCATCCGACCTCTGCACCACCATCACCCGGCCTCTGCACCACCTCCATCCGACCTCTGCACCACCTCTATCTGACCTCTGCACCACCACCATCCGACCTCTGCACCACCACCATCCGGCCTCTGCACCACCACCATCCGGCCTCTGCACCACCACCATCTGACCTCTGCACCACCACCATCCGACCTCTGCACCACCACCATCCGGCCTCTGCATCACCACCATCTGACCTCTGCACCACCACCATTCGTCTTCTGCACCTCCATCTTCCTATCTCTGCACTTTCAATCATCCTAGTTACCTTGGCAGCCATGATGCTGCTGTTATATCTGGTCAGTGCAGCGTCTCTGAGTTTTCCCCTTATCATCCGGCCAGGGCCCCTTTAAATGCCCGCATTGGACTTTCCCCAGCCTCCGCCCACTCGCTATAACCCCCTTACCCCCCTTCCCCCTTATCCTCCACCCACTTCTCATCAACCTCCTTCCCCCTTAGCTCCTATCCTCGTCAGCCTCTACCTACTCCCTCCAACTCTTCCTTCTTGCCCCTTTCCCCTTGCTTTCATCCCCCAGTCTCTTTCCCTCTTGTCTCTACCCTCATCTCTCTTTGTCGCACCTCTTCGTCCCTCTCTTTGCTGCGTTAATTATCCATTTGTTATTTAATGTGTCAATATGCATTTCCCTGAAGGTTTTCAAGGAAGGAGTCAGACGGACCTGACGGACCTTGATCACTGGTTCTCTATTACCCCATCTGTATTCCAGAGCTGTGCAACTCCTTTCCGATTTACCGCTTTTCATACTTGTGATTGTTATTATTATTATAGTATTTATTATTAACACGTTTATTACATTCTTTTAGCAAGTGAAGGGCTTACATAATGCTTATGGGATAAGTACGTATTGTGTAGTAAATCTTGTGTCTGGAGCTGATCAGACGGAGGATCTAGTCTTCACCTTGCGGACCCGCATTTGTTCAGCGCAGAACACAAGGAGACATATTCTGTAAGATCATTTTTTGGATCACTTCAACATTAGTCTCTTCCCGATGAAAATTTTAAAATATAATTTATTTTTCCTAAATCTACCGTAGCAACCTAATCTAACATAGCCTCTCTGAAATTTACAAAACATAAAATACTATCTAGTTTTTCTCAGAAGCAGCATATTATTATAATCAAAAAGAAGCGCTAAACCACAAGGGCTATACAGCGCTGCTCAGAAGCAGCATAGCTATTAATTTTTTTTTTCTAATTTCCTTATTTTTTCTAATTTCCTTTGTGTTATGGTCAACATTTCGGGCGACCCAGATCTTCATATATCTTGGACTTGCCTAGCACGAGCTGGTAGGTCTGCTGCAGTGCTCCTTCTTATGTTCTTATATAACGAGTCCCAGGTAACAAGTGTGGGGGCTTCTATCACACACCTTACACATGATGTAACAAACTGCATTTTGAGCACAAGGTTAGATACAAGAAGTGTCTCCAGGGCAATTTTACACTAGTTTTATGCAGTGCTGAAAAGTGAGTCACGAAGAAGTCGTAACCAGCTGATGTTTTCTGCGCTTGAGTGTGCATCTTGTGCTGCTGCTGTATAGATAATTGAAGTAGCCTCCGAGTTGCTATTATGGTTATGCTTTATTGACATACTGGATGACTGCTTAATGAATAAGCCACGTGTGCAACACCTGGGTATCTTTTTTTTGATGAAGATAAAGAAACAAGGTGTTGCACATTTGTCTTATTCATCGAAGATAAAGAAACAAGGTGTTGCACATTTGTCTTATTCATCGAAGATAAAGAAACAAGGTGTTGCACATTTGTCTATTCATCGAAGATAAAAGAAACAAGGTGTGCACATTTGTCTTATTCATCGAAGAAAAAAGAAAAAAGGGTGTTGCACATTTGTCTTATTCATCGAAGATAAAGAAACAAGGTGTTGCACATTTGTCTTATTCATCGAAGATAAAGAAACAAGGTGTTGCACATTTGTCTTATTCATCGAAGATAAAAAAACAAGGTTTTTGCACATTTGCTTATTCCATCGAAGATAAAGAAACAAGGTGTTGCACATTTGTCTTATTCATCGAAGATAAAGAAACAAGGTGTTGCACATTTGTCTTATTCATCGAAGATAAAGAAACAAGGTGTTGCACATTTGTCTTATTCATCGAAGATAAAGAAACAAGGTGTTGCACATTTGTCTTATTCACGAGATAAGAAAAAAGGGTGTTCCCACATTTGTCTTATTCATCGAAGATAAAGAAACAAGTGTTGCACATTGTCTTATTCATCGAAGATAAAGAAACAAGGTGTTGCACATTTGTCTTATTCATCGAAGATAAAGAAACAAGGTGTTGCACATTTGTCTTATTTATCACTTGTCGTTACTGTGTAACATATCTTTTTGTTCACTTTATTAAGTTTCCATTGATTTCTTCTGTGTAAGATAAACTCTTCAGATTCATCTTCTGAATGTTCGTATGATCTTTTTAAATCCGAATTTACCTACTTTGCTTATTAAGCACGACATATGTTTCATGTGATATTCATATATTTACGTGTTACTTCCGTGTCTCCTACAGGCGAGGGTCGAGCTCCGAGGATCACGGAACACCCGACTAACTGGACAGTCCCGAGGAACGACCCTGTTACACTCAATTGTGGCGCCGAAGGTCGTCCTCAGCCCGTCATCACCTGGTACAAAGACGGTGCCCCTGTGAAACCTTCTCCCCACCGGTTCATCCTCCCCACGGGATCGCTTTTTTTCCTGAAGGTGTCACAGAGCAAGAAGGAGAACGATGCTGGTGTTTACTGGTGTGTGGCCAGTAACAGACTGGGCAGCGCGAGGTCCTCCAACGCCTCGCTGCAAATTGCCTGTGAGTATTGCAGTGGAGTTGAAGTGTGTGAATGTGTATTGCAGTAGGGATGAGGTGTGTGTAGAGCAGTGGTATTGAGGTGTGTGTGTTGTGTGTGGTGTGTGTGTGTGTGGTGTTGTGTGTGTGTGTGAGTATGTATATGTGTGCATGTGTGCGTGTACTCACCTAACTGTGGTTGCAGGGGTCGAGACTCCGCTATTAGCTCCGCCTCTTCACTGATCGCTACTAGGTCCTCTCTCTCTCTGCTCCATGAGCTTTTGTCATACCTCGTCTTAAAGCTATGTATGGTTTCTGCCTCCACTACATCACTTGCTAGACTATTCCACTTCCTGACAACTCTATGACTGAAGAAATACTTCCTAACATCCCTGTGACTCGTCTGAGTCTTCAGCTTCCAATTGTAACCCCTAGTTTCTGTGTCCCCTCTGGAGCATCCTGCCTCTGTCCGCCTTATCTATTCCACGCAGTATTTTGCATGTCGTTATCATGTCTCCCCTGACCCTCCTGTCCTCCAGTGTCGTTAGTCCGATTTCCCTCAACCTTTCTTCGTAGGACATTCCCCTGAGCTCCGGAACTAACCTTGTTGCAAACCTTTGCACTTTCCCTAATTTCTTGACGTGCTTGACCATGTGTGGGCTCCAAACTGGTGCTGCATACTCCAGTATGGGGCTGACGTACACAGTGTACAGTGTCTTGAACGATTCCTTACTAAGGTATCGGAACGCTATTCTCAGGTTTGCCAAGCGCTGACATGCTGCAGCAGTTATCTGGTTGATGTGTGCTTCCGGAGACGTGCTCGGTGTTATGGTCACCCCAAGATCTTTATCCTTGAGTGAGGTTTGCAGTCTTTGTTGCTGTATAGCCCTTGTGGCTTAGCGCTTCTTTTTGATTATAATAATAATAATGCAGTCTTTGTCCACCTAGCCTATACTCTGTCTGCGGTCTTCTTTCCCCTTCCCCAGTCTTCATGACTTTGCATTTGGCGGGGTTGAATTCGAGAAGCCAGTTTCTGGTCCACGTGTCCAGCCTGTGTGTGTGTGCGTGTGTGTGCGTGTGTGTGTGTGTGTGTGTGTGTGTGTGTGTGTGTGTGTGTGTTGTGTGTGTGTGTGTGTGTGTGTGTGTGTGTGTACTCACCTAATTGTACTCACCTAATTATGGTTGCAGGGGTCGAGACTCAGCTCCTGGCCCCGCCTCTTCACTGATTGCTACTAAGTCCTCTCTCTCTCTCTGCTTCCTGAGTGTGTGTGTGTGTGTGTGTGTGTGTGTGTGTGTGTGTGTGTGTGTGTTGCTACAGTTTGGAAGTGTTTGTAGATGAAAAGAAATGAGGGACAGTGTGACAGGTAAGTTTCTTAACTTCCTAAGTTTTTCTTTTGCATCTTTTTTTCCCACTTCCTGTTTTTTGTTGACGTGATGGTTGTTTCTTCTTCTTCATCCTCTTCTTCTTCTTCTTCTTCTTCTTCTTCATCTTCTTCTTTTGCTGTTCCTCCTCTTGCCGCTGTTTATGGTTTACTGATCATTTTCTTATGTTCTTATTTCAGTTTCTTGCCCCTGTTTTTGTACAAATATTCAACCTTGTATCCAGCTGCCCCCCCCCCCCTCTCTCTCTCTCTCTCTCTCCCCTCTCTCTCTCTCTCTCTCTCACCCCCTCCCTTTTCGCTCCCCTCCCTCGATCCCCCTCTCTTTCTCCCTTCCAGTTTTCAAATCTCTCTTTACATAATTGCTATACACATTGTCTTACACAAACCAAAATTTATAATAAAAATAATCGAGTACAAGTAAATACTGATATTCTCAGTCACTCTCACACATGACAGCCAAATAATGAGCTGTCGACAACAGCTTAAAACAGCAGCTCGAGAAATAACCTTAATCATGCAAAAATATTTATTTAAGAGAAAAGCAATTACTGGGATGGCGTCTAAGGATGGCATTGTGATGCTTTAACTAACGCTGAGAGCAACTGGCCCAAATTAAATACCTTGTAGTTTTGTACCTGAAGGAGCGATAATGCAATCCTGGAAATGAGCTAATTAAAGACGAGAGGGCAAGGAAATATATCTCCGTTCTGACTTTCCCAGAAGTCGTTCTCTGTCTCTGTCTGTATGTCTCTCTGTCTCTCTCTCTGTCTCTCTGTCTCTGTCTCTCTCTCTCTCTCTCTCTCTCTCTCTCTCTCTCTCTCTCTCTCTCTCTCTCCTCTCTCTCTCTCTTTTCTCTCTCTCCTCTCTCTTCTCTCTCTCTCCCCTCTCTCTCTCTCTCTCTCTCATATAAATATGAAAATAATGTGAATGTTGCTTTTGGGTTATACAATGTAGATTCATTTATAATTAATAAAACTTGGGAACAATTTATGATGTAAGTGAAACTGTTTCACTTACATCACTGTGAGGTTCTTCTGGAGCAAAATTATTAATTTTTACATTAATATAAATGAAAAAAAAAATGTATCTTTAAACGTATAAAAGAAAATTTTAGAAATTACTTATTTTTAATTGAGCTCTTGCTAACTGACCAATTTTAATTATTCGGCACAACATGTATACACTCACACATTGTGTGCGTGTACTCACCTAATTGTGGTTGCAGAGGTCGATTCACAGCTCCTGGTCCCTCCTCTTCACTGATCGCTACCAGGTCACTCTCCCTCCTCCGTGAGCTTTAGCATACCTCTTCTTAAAGCTGTGTATGGATCCTGCCTCCACTACATCACTTTCCAGATTATTCCACTTCCTGACAACTATGACTGAAGAAATACTTCCTAACATCCCTGTGACTCATCAGAGTCTTCAACTTCCAATTGTGATCCCTTGTTGCTGTGTCCCATCTCTGGAACATTCTGTCTCTGTCCACCTTGTCGATTCCCTCAGTATTTTACATGTTATAATCTCCCCCTATCTCTCCTGTCCTATAGTGCTGCCATGTCGATTTCCCTTCACCTCTCCTCGTAGGATGTTGAGAAATGGTTTACCAGCTAAGATGTAATTTTAAATAAAGGGAATACTTAGCTGATAAAAGAGAGCAAATCGTCTACACAACCGCCCCTGCAGACGAGGTCTTGAATTGTTGTCATGATCATCTCTCAATGGGCTGTAATAGATCATATTATGTAACCAATAAAGTACCCCTAGGGGATGTTATGCCAGCATATTTCATTCACTGATGGCTGACAAACTTACTTGTGTGGACTCAAAAGTCCACACCTCACTGCCGACTATAGGTTGATTACAAACTCCTTGCAACTCAAGAACTGCGCAGTCCCCCGAACTACAAGAAATTCGCAACCTACCTTGCTCTTGTAGCGTGAGCTATGGTGTTCTTCACACCTTCGACAGGTATCGGTGACTTGATAGAAGCTGAAGTGTCCTTGGATGTCCACGTCTTCCATAGTCTAGGAATACGCACATTGGTACACTATGTTCCCAAGATTTGTTTTTATTGTTCACAATCTTATCACTCAAGAAGCTGATCACACTTCTCTAAGTGTTTATTGTGTTTTATGAGATATTTTGTTCACAGTAACGCACGGATCAGTGTTCTTTGTTGGTTATCCTGGCGTCAGTGTGACTCTCAGTAGAGTCAAAAGTAATCTGATGACGCCACAGCACCCTACACCGTCACTACCCCTAGCACATAAAGGAAAAGCTGACCTAGTACTTTTTCTTCATTGCCACTTCCTCCATGAAGCAAAGCAGTATGTTTGATTTTTGCTGTCTTAAGCATAGACAACAATGTACACTATCTTTACCATGGTAATAAAGTGGGAGCAGGATTTTCCTTAATTTTCCTGCTAAGGTAAGAGATGGACTGTCTTTTATTAAATTACACTTTGCAACACTGGAGTCTTGCACGGAGCGTCGAGCCACGTCGCGTACTGGTACTGCATCTGGGATCAATTACTCACTGTAGCAGTAAACAAGATGCTTGCCCCTTCTGAGGTAAAGAAATTGATAAAAATGGAGCATATTCAAGGTATGAGTGAATCTTTGCCTCGTACGAAGTTCAGCAGCCTCTGCTGTCGAGCTGGAATGAGATATGCCTTAGCACTATCAGCTGTTTTGCTGCATTCTGGGCCCCTCACTGCTGAAAGGAGCTGAAGGGGCTGAAGAGGGCTGATACCCCCTCCTGGAGAAAATTTCTCCACATAGGATATGCCCCTTAGCTCCGGGACTGGTCTCGTTGCAAACCTTTGCAAGTGTGTGTGTGTGTGTGTGTGTGTGTGTGTGTGTGTGTGTGTGTGTGTACTCACCTAGTTGAGGTTGCGGGGGTCGAGTCCGAGCTCCTGGCCCCGTGTGTGTGTATGTGTGTGTGTGTGTGTATGTGTGTGTGTGTGGGTGTGTGTGTGTGGGTGTGGGGTGTGTGTGTGTGGTGTGTGTGTGTGGGTGTGTGGGGTGTAGTGTGTATGTGTGTGGGGTGTGTGTGTGTGTGTGTGTGTGGGCGTGTATGTGGGTGTATTGTGTGGGTGTGTGTGTGTGGGTGTATGTGTGTGTGTGGGTGGGTGGAAGATATCGTAATAAACAGGTGATTGCAAATATATAAAAATACCACACTGAAAAATAGGAAAAACACCTCAGCGTTTTCATGTGCTTATACATACACATCTTCAGAAGACAGCGTAAACACATAATGAGCTGAAGAGGAGGATGGGAGCGGAAGGGGGGAGGGTGGTAGCGGAGAGGAGGAGGATGTTAGCGGAGAGGAGGAGGATGGGGAGCGGAGAGGAGGAGGATGGTAGCGGAGAGGGGAAAGGGGGATGTTAGCGGAGAGGAGGAGGATGGTAGCGGAGAGGAGGAGGATGTTAGCGGAGAGGAGGAGGATGTTAGCGGAGAGGAGGAGGATGGTAGCGGAGAGAGGAGGATTTAGCGGAGAAGGAGGGTGTTAGTGGGGAGGAGGAGGATGTTAGCGAGAGGAGGAGGATGTTAGCGGGGAGGAGGAGGATGTTAGCGGAGAGGAGAGGATGGTAGCGGAGAGGAGGAGGATGTTAGCGGGGAGGGGGAGGATGTTTG